GATACCAAATCGTTTAATATTGAATAACGTCGACTCGGAACTTTCTATTTGAAATGTTTATTAGTTAATGTTTGAAGAGCTTAACTCAACGCATCTATAAATCTTACTAGACGAGATCATGGTTTATAAAGTCATTCTCCATAGATATTCTGTTTTTTTCGACAAGGTCAAATCAGGAATACCACCAAATAAAAATTTGGATTGAAATTAAGTGTCAGATGAGACAAATTCTACTTTACCAGATTACAAAGACAAGGTTTTACCAAGGCCAACATTTTAGACAAAAGTAGCAAGATATTTAAGTTATCCCATCAAATTATTAGTCATGGAGGGTCTTAATCCATGAACATGAAATTTTAAACGTATTTCAGCCTTAATAAATAATTCATTAACTATTGTCCTCAATAAGATTTATAGTCCTAAGTACAGCTTGCATTAAGCCAAAAAAATCAAGAGTAGATATTGGAATAAGTGAAAATAAGATATAACACAGCATACTTACGCTTAAATGAAGAGCAGAAGAATTTCGAGGAAGGGATGGTTTATTGCTCGGAATTTCTAAAATAATGAAAGTAAGCAGTATAGTCAAGCTAGACGATTAAGTCAAATTGATCCAAAATATCTAAGTAGACATATTGAGTTACTAGGATAAAATGTTTAGTAATAAATTTTTATAAGTCATTACCTGATGCAATAGTTGTCAACTCAGCAGAAGTCGATATTTCCTTATTCGGAATACATGTATCGGACACTCCAAGAGAGGAATACATCCAAGGAGTAGATATATCTGGAGGCTGGCTTGCAAATTCGTACTCAGGATAGTAAGAATGGTTTGCAATTGAAGACAACTGAAGCAAACAATAGTTACAGAAATTAGAGTAAGAAAATAGTGACATCGAAAGAATTAAGACGGGCAAAAAACTGGCTTACCGAATGGAGACCATGGGAGCCATTTTCTGCTGAATACCCTCCACTCATATGAGAAAGATTCATAGCGGGATCTGGTTGAGAATATCCATGCTCAAGTGAAGGATGAATGATTGTTGAAATGTTAGACTCGGAGTTATGATTGTGATAGGAATGATGAGACATAACTTGATTGAAGCACGAATTTCCCATATCGGCAACAGATTCCGGGTCTCTAAATCCAGAAGAGTAAATTCCTGTGGTTGGATATTCCATATTCACCATTCCGACTCCTGCAACCTCAGGATTATGTAATGAAGACGAGGAATGAAGCCATTGATACGAATTTGCCGCACTACTTGTTGATTGCATGTCAATATGATTAATTTGCAGATAGATCGAATGTAGCAGTAAACGGTAACCGTATAAATGGGTCTGTACCACTTAAAGATAATAATTCCCACTAGGGCAAGTCCAGCTTATATGCTGGATCGGTTCATCACAAGCTAATAGGAATGCAAAAAAATGCAGAAAAAACAAATCAAAATAATGTAATCATTACAAACATATTTTGA